CTGACTGTCTGTTTGAATGTCTCTCCCATTGAATGGCAAAACAAGTGTTGTTTTGAATGTTGTTTTGCGTTCAAAATCGATGTAAACATTGAGAGTGAGAGACAGTGGGAGACAACTGTCTGTGTGTTGAGTGTGTCGTACGCTATGGCCGGCAGATGTCATGCCATGTGTGAGAGTGTGAACGTGTATTGTGTTGAATGCCATTCACTGGTCGTTCACTTTTGCATTGCATTGTATGCTTTGTATTACAGAATATTCTTGATTTTTATTCACAATCATTGAATGCCTCCAATAGTGTATGAAATGATTTGATTTTGATCATGATGGGAAACTATTATAATTAGTGATGTCCGTGGTCATTTTGCTATTTTATTATCTTTATTAAGGCATTTATAAATTATTATAAATGCACATATTTAGTTAAACTTTTTTATTAGCGAATATTTCTTGATGTTTAATAAAACTATGTTAAAATTAATTAGTTTTAAAGTTAGTTATTTATTATTTAGTATTTGATAGAATTTAGTTAATTTATAAACATTGAATTGAATGAATACTTTATAAATTAAAAATTTAATCGTTTTAAATAATATGGTTAAAAATTTTGAACTTTTTTGTTTTGTGTAAATGAATTATTTAACAAAAATCTTTAAAACTTTTTTGACAAAGTATTGGATATTTTTGAAGCTTTAGACGATTTGCCAGATTTAGTAGTTTTGACCGATTGTTGAGTGATTTCGCTCTTGTGTTCAGTCGTTTGTTTCCATACAATATAATAACAGACACTCATTGAGACGACAATCACTGCAATCAATAAAATCACGGCTAATATAATCCAAATGGGTGTCAAGTCTATTGGCTTCTCAGTTGACTTTGGATTCTCAGTAGTCTTTGGATTCTCAGTAGACTTTGGATCCTCTGGTTTACAACTGATTAACAAATGATTTACCGATGAATTTAGACACTAATTGATTGAAAAAATCAAATCATTTTAGAAATACATAATTATATCAAATGATTACAAAACACTCACATCTGTGAGAAAATCCTTGTTTTGTGTCCAACAATACGTGATATTTGTGTCCTCTTTAAAGAAGAATACATATCGAGGATTTGGTCCACCGATTGGTCCCATAATACCGATCACTTGATTCACACTTTGGGTGCCATCAGTCAGACCGCGAATCATTGTTTTGTCGTATGGTTCAAAACGACGGGGAAAACAACCATATCTTCTCACAAACTGATGGTCAGTTGGTGTGGACTTTGTTTGAGTCAATAAACACACGTTATGTTGTTTATCGGGTGAACGGAAATGAATGGCAGAGTTGTACTCAGACGGCAACTTTGTTGAGTGCGTGGAAACGGTGTGGTTGTCGTCCAGACTTCGTATCACAATATATTTGCGCTCTTTAAACTATTCGTAAATAATTTTCAACTTAAAGTTAGCAACAAGTTTAATGAACACATTGTCGACAATATATACCTTATAGACGACATAGAATTCTTTTTGCTCTAACTTGTATATCCAGCCAATATCGGGATCGGCATTGAAATTGTCAATCACATGATATTCACTATCCATTCGGACATTGGTTTCATTAGCCCTCAAAAGCCAGTATTGATTGCCGATAATAATCATCAGTGTTTGAGTCGTAAAGTCGTAAACAGTTTTGTATATATCGTATGAATTGTTGGCAAACGCTTTGCAGAACTGGATGTGACCGATGTCTGAGTGGTTTGTTATGAGACAATTCAATTGTGGTAAACATATTATCCCTTTTAAAAGTGGAATAAAGTTATTAATTATAACTTATTATTTATAATTACATTCGTTTTGATAATCAGTTTTAAATACCTATCAATAAATGTGCGAAGAATTGCATTTTGTCTGCGATTTGAAAAGAGATATAATTTTAAATCATAACGTTTTTGTTTAAAATAATTGTGATTTATTTGATTAACAACAATATTGTCATTCATTGGCTATAATCGGTTAAATTACTGTATTGTTACAAATTAATACATTATATCCGTTTGATTAGTAGATATACTGTATATTTATAGATGTTTAACAATTAAAAAACTAATTTACGACAAATCGTTTTTTGTAAGTTTAATCTCATATTTTAGTAAAACGTGAAGTTTATTGTTTTAAATGTCAGTATTTGTATGGAAATTATAATATGTTTTTGAAATAATCTGTTTATCAATATTTGTATTTAATTTATATTTCTGTTTAAATGAAAAATGTATGAAAAGAACTATTGTTTAGAAATCTTTAGATAACGAGTGGTCGAGAGTCGATGTTTTGTGTCCACACATTTGTGTCCATAGATAACAATAGCAGACAATAATTGAGACGATAATCACTGCAATCGCCAATACAATCCAATGAGTTGTAGACTTTCTTTTACAACTGATTAACAAACGATTTGCCGATGAATTTAGACACTAATTGACAAATAAATTCATTTCAAAAATACATAATTATATCAAATGATTACAAAACACTCACTTCTGTGAGAAAATCCAGATTTTGTGTCAAACAATACGTGATATCTGTGTCCTCTTTGAAGAAGAATATATATCGAGGAATTGTTTCACCGATTGGTCCCATAATACCGATCACTTGATTCACACTTTGAGTTTCATTAGTCAGATCGGGAATCACTGTTTTATGGCCTGGACTTGTAAAACAACTATATCTTCTTACAAACTGATGGCCAGTTGGTGTTTGACTCAAACAACACATCCTATGTCCGGAATCGGGTGAACGGAAATGAATGGCCGAATTATACTCAGGCGGCAAATCCATTGATCCCTTCGGCACGTTATGATTGTCCAGACTTTCTATCCAATAAAATGTGTGATTTTTAAACTATTCATAAATAATTTTCAACTTAAAATTAGGCAAAATTTAATGAAGACTTTATCGACAATATATACTCTATAGACTCCATATTTGGGTCCTTTCCTTGACCTGAGAATAAAGCCAATATCGGGATCGGCATAGAAATTGTCGATCACATGATAGTCACTATCCATTCGGACATCGGTTTCATTAGCCCTCAAAAGCCAGTATTGATTGCCGATAATAATCATCAGTGTTTGAGTCTTAATGTCGTAAACAGTTTTGTATATATCGTATGAATTGTCGGCAAAGGCTTTGCAGAACTGGATGTCTGAATGGTTTGTTATGAGACAATTTAATTTTGGCCAAAATATTACTCCTTTTTAAAGTGGATTAAAGTTATTAATTATAAGTTATTATTTATAAGTTAACATGTGTTTTGATAATCAGTTTGAAATACCTATCACTAGATGTGCGAAGAATTGCATTTTGTCTGCGGTTTAAAAAGTGATTTAATTTTAAATCATAACGTTTTTGTTTAAAATAATTGTGATTTATTTGATTAACAACAATATTATCATTCATTTGCTATAATCATTTAAATTACTGTATTGTTACAAATTAATATATAATATCCGTTTTAAAGACGTTTAACAATTAAAAAACTATAGTTTTAATTAGTTTAAAAGTTTTAATCTCGTAATTTAGTTAAACGTGAAGTTTATTGTTTTAAATATCAGTATTTGTATGTAAATTTAAATAATAATATGTTTTAGTATTTTTAGAATTTAATTAATTTTTGGACATTTAATTTAATGAATAGTTAAAAATTTGATAAATCATTTTAATTAATATGCTTAAAAATGTTGAACTTTTTTGTTTTGTGTAAATAAATTATTTAACAAAAATCGTTAAAACTTTTTTGACAAAGTATTGGATATTTTTGAGGTTTTAGACGATTTGATGGATTTAGACGTTTTGACCGATTGTTGAGTGATTTCGCTCTTGTGTTCAGTCATTTGTTTCCATAGAATATATAACAGACTCATTGAGACAATAATGACTGCAATCAATAAAATCACGGCTAATATATTCCAAAGGGTTGTTAAGTCAGTAGACTTTGGTTCCTTTGATTTACAACTGATTAGCAAATGATTTGCCGAAGAATTTAGACACTAATTGATGAAGAAATTCATTTTAAAAATACATAATTATATCAAATGATTACAAAACACTCACATCTGAGAGAAAATCCTTGTTTTGTGTCCAACAATATGTGATATTTTTGTCCTCTTTGAAGAAGAATATATATCGAAGATTTGTTCCACCCATTGGTCCCATAATACCGATCACTTGATTCACAGTTTGGGTGTCATTAGTCAGATCGGGAATCACTGTTTCTTTACTTAAGTGTATAAAACAACAATGTCTTCTCACAAACTGATGGTCAGTTGGTGTGGACTTTGTTTGACTCAAAAAACACATATCGTGTTGGGAATCAGGCGAACGGAAATGAATGGCCGAATCATATTCAGACGACAAATTAAATGGTATCCTATACTCGTTAGGATTCCAATCCAGACTCGATATATAATAAATGGTGTGATTTTTAAACTATTCATAAATAATTTTTAACTTAAAATTAGCCACAAGTTTAATGAAAACATTATAGACATTATATACGTTATAGACTTCATAGTTGTTTCCGTCCGTTAACTTCATTATAAAACTTATATCGGGATCGGCATAGAAATCGTGTATCACATGATATTCACTATCCATTCGGACATCGGTTTCATTAGCCCTCAAAAGCCAGTATTGATTGCCGATAATAATAAGTAATGTTTGAGAGTTAAAGTGGTAAACAGTTTTGTATATATCGTATGAATTGTCGGCAAACGCTTTGCAGAACTCAATGTGACCGATGTCTGAATGTTTTGTTATGAAACAATTCAATTGTGGCCAAAATATTACTCCTTTTAAAAGTCGATTAAAGTTATTAGTTATTACTTATCATTTATAATTACATGTGTTTTGGTAATCAGTTTTAAATACCTATCACTAGATGTGCAAAGAATTGCATTTTGTCTGCGGTTTAAAAAGTAATTTAATTTCTAATCATAACGTTTTTGTTTAAAATAATTGTGATTTATTTGATTAACAACAATATTATCATTCATTTGCTATAATGAATGTAATAAACAATTAAATCTATTTAATTTAACCTATTGTTTGAATTTAATAATAATATTCCTTATAATAAGTTCAGCTTTAAATTCTTAATCTTTATACCTGATACAAATACTTACAAAAATCCTATAATTTATTGCTATAATAGTTTATACTTGATATATTATTACAATTTTATTTAATTAATAATTATAAATTATATTTATAATCATATACTGGGATAACCATTGGTCAGAGAGCTCCACAACCCATGTATACCTGTAAACACCGGGCATTCAAATGGACCGCCACTTCACTTAACACTAACTTTTATACCATTCATAGCTAACGTCAATCACACCACCAAAAGGGGCTATCATTTACTTCACAACACTATACAAAGTGAATGGCGTTTAACATAAGGGACTCTCAAAGCACTGTCAATGAAAGCGGACGTAATTACTGGTAATGAATGAATGAATGCAATGAAAAAAAATATTGTTTACAACAAAACCTGTGGACAAACTGTATGTTTGAAAGCCATTCAAAGCCAAAACACATACAAAACGAAAGTCAATACAAGTCTATAGTGTAGTAATCGTTGAGTGATTTGTAAGGCAAACGTCAATTGCGATTATCATATCAGTGGCCAAAACACAAGACTGGATCAGATGGCGGTGACAACAGCGACGACGACGACAACAACTCGGACCAGATGTCGGTCGGGTAGGGATGAGCTGCTGATGGCATTGGTGTTTGGGATGATGTTGGGCGGCACTCCGGGTCAGGTGAACCCCAACGCCCGGTGGCTGTCCTCCCGAGGCATGTGGTTGTCGTACGGCTGCGGCGTTTTGGTCCTCCATCTGGCGCTACTGTCGTTCCCCTTCCTGTCGGTGGCCTGGGTTTGGACGCTAACCAATTGCATACATAATCTGGTCATTTGTTTCTCATATTTATCGCTGTTTTTGTTGTGTTAAAAGTTTTTTGTCTTGTGTTTAGTTTAGGTTTTGCTCAAGACTTGTATTTTTGTGTCGATAATGACTCTCTCTCTCTCTCTCTCTCTCTCCGTGTGATTGTTATCTAGTGTTTAAATCAGCGGTTAATTTAGTCTTCATTTAGTACTTACATTAGTTTCAGTACTTTTTACATAAAGTTTTTTGTTCACTGGTTTTCATTTACCCCTTATGTCTGTGTTTTATAATTGCATTGAATTTTGCAGTAGTTTTGCAATCATTGCAATGAATACCTGTTTTTTAGAGTTAATTAACTTTTTGTTGTTTGTGTTTTGTGTTAGTCTTACGCAATCACTTACCACTACTGCAACAGTAATGCACTGCAAAAGTGTATTGAATTAATATTTAAACAACTGTTTTGTTGGTCTAAATATTACCATAAATACACATCTATTTATATATGTCTTCAATCGATTGGTGAAACCAATTGTTTGTTTCAATTTATTATTTTTGTCATTCATTTACACTTTTATATTAACCGTTTGTCTCTATATTTTCAGGTGATGTTTGTGTTCCTACACCTCCTGAAGGGCACGCCCTGGGAGTCTGGAGATCAGGGAAAGGTCCGCAAACTCACGCATTGGGAACAGATAGACGACGGCATCCAATTCACGTCCACCAGAAAATTTTTGACTGTCGTTCCCATTATTTTGTTAGTATTTATTATGCGATTAATTGAAATTATTTTTGTTAAGTTATCGACACTAATAGTGTTACACTAGTTATCAAGTGGTGGTTTTACTCTCACATATCCATATGTATGTGTTTTTGAGACTATACAGGATTACCTTCGATGAGATCATTCATCTCCTCTTTATTACTGTTGAGTTCTTGATGTCTAACACTTTTTTAGCGACAATTTGTCACTTTTTTGTGACAATAGTTTTATTATTGAATAAATATTAGCGAATGATTCTCTCTCTCTCTCTGGGTCAGGTGAACCCCAACGCCCGGTGGCTGTCCTCCCGAGGCATGTGGTTGTCGTACGGCTGCGGCGTTTTGGTCCTCCATCTGGCTCGATATATACAAAACTGTTTACGACATTAAGACTCAAACACTGATGATTATTATCGGCAATCAATACTGGCTTTTGAGGGCTAATGAAACCGATGTCCGAATGGATAGTGAATATCATGTGATCGACAATTTCTATGCCAATCCCGATATTGGCTTTATTATCAGGTCAAGGAAAGGACCCAAATATGGAGTCTATAACGTATATATTGTCAATAAATTCATTCATTAAATTTTGTCTAATTTAAAGTTAAAAATTATTTATAAATAGTTTAAAAATCACACATTTTATTGGATAGAGAGTCTGGACGATCATAACGTGCCGAAGGGATCAATGGATTTGCCGCCTGAGTATAATTCGGCCATTCATTTCCGTTCACCCGATTCCCAACATAGGATGTGTTGTTTGAGTCAAACACCAATTGGCCATCAGTTTGTGAGAAGATATAGTTGTTTTACAAGTCCAGGCCATAAAACAGTGATTCCCGGTCTGACTAATGAAACTCAAAGTGTGAATCAAGTGATCGGTATTATGGGACCAATCGGTGAAACAATTCCTCGATACATATTCTTCTTCAAAGAGGACACAAATATCACGTATTGTTGGACACAAAGTCTGGATTTTCTCACAGAAGTGAGTGTTTTGTAATCATTTGATATAATTATGTATTTTTAAAATGAATTTATTTGTCAATTAGTGTCTAAATTCATCGGCAAATCGTTTGTTAATCAGTTGTAAAGCAAAGTCTATAACTCATTGGATTGTATTGGCCGTAGTTTTAGTGATTGCAGTGATTATCGTCTCAATTATTATCTGCTATTGTTATCTATGGAGACAAATGTGTGGACACAAGACATCGACTCTCGACCACTCGTTATCTAAAGATTTCTAAACAATAATTTTTTCCATCAATTTTTTCATTTAAACAGAAATATAAATTGAATACAAATATTGATAAACAGATTATTTTAAAAACATATTATAATTTCCATACAAATACTGACATTTAAAACAATAAACTTCACGTTTTACTAAAATATGAGACCAACTTACAAAAAACGATTTGTCGTAAATTAGTTTTTTAATTGTTGAACATCTATACAGTATATTTACTAATCAAACGGATATTATATATTAATGTGTACCAATACAGTAATTTAACCGATTATAGCAAATGAATGACAATATTGTTGTTAATCAAATAAATCACAATTATTTTAAACAAAAACGTTATGATTTAAAATTATATCTTTTTTCAAATCGCAGACAAAATGCAATTCTTCACACATTTAGTGATAGGTATTTAAAATTGATTATCAAAACGAATGTAATTATAAATAATAAGTTATAATTAATAACTTTATTCCACTATTAAAAGGGATGATATGTTTACCACAATTGAATTGTCTCATAACAAACCACTCAGACATCGGTCACATCCAGTTCTGCAAAGCCTTTGCCGACAATTCATTCAATATATACAAAACTGTTTACGACATTAAGACTCAAACACTGATGATTATAATCGGCAATCAATACTGGCTTTTGAGGGCTAATGAAACCGATGTCCAAATGGATAGTGAATATCATGTGATCGACAATTTCTATGCCGATCCCGATATTGGCTTTATATACAAGTTAGCGCAAAAAGAATTCTATGTCGTCTATAAAGTATATATTGTCAATAATGTCTTCATTAAACTTGTGGCTAACTTTAAGTTGGAAATTATTTACAAATAGTTTAAAGAGCGCAAGTATAATGTGATACGAAGTCTGGACGACAACCATACCGTTTCCACGCACTCAACAAAGTTGACGCCTGAGTATAATTCGGCCATTCATTTCCGTTCACCCGATAAACAACATAACGTGTGTTTATTGACTCAAACAAAGTCCACACAAACTAACCAACAGTTTGTGAGAAGATATGGTTGTTTTACAAGTCGTTTGGATCTATACGACAAAAAAATGATTCGCGGTGTGACTGATGGCACCCAAAGTGTGAATCAAGTGATCGGTATTATGGGACCAATCGGTGCAACAATTCCTCGATATGTATTCCTCTTCAAAAAGGACACAGATATCACGTATTGTTGGACACAAAACACGGATTTTCTCACAGATGTGAGTGTTTTGTAATTGTTTGATATATTTATGTATTTTTGAAATAAATTTTTTAATCAATTAGTGTTTAAATTCATCGGCAAATCGTTTGCTAATCAGTTGTAAACCAGAGGATCAAAAGTCTACTGAAAATCCAAAGACTACTGAGAATCCAAAGTCAACTGAGAAACCAATAGACTTGACACCCATTTGGAATATATTAGCCGTGATTTTATTGATTGCAGTGATTATTGTCTCAATAATTGTCTGCTATTGTTATCTATGGACACAAATGTGTGGACACAAGACATCGACTCTCGACCACTCGTTATCTAAAGATTTCTAAACAACAGTTCTTTTCATCAATTTTTTCATTTAAACAGAAATATCAATTGAATACAAATATTGATAAACAGATTATTTCAAAAACATATTACAAAACATGTTATATGAATACAACACGATATGTATCTCATTGCTTACTGTAATTGCTAAATAAAAATTATTATTATTATTATTATAATTTCCATACAAATACTGACATTTAAAACAATAAACTTCACGTTTTACTAAAATATGAGATTATAACTTACAAAAAACGATTTATCATAAAATTAGTTATTTAATTGTCAAACATCTATAAATATACAGTATATCTATTAATATTCTGTATTAATTTGTAATAATACTCTAATTATAATAGTTCCTCATCATGATCACAATCAAATCATTTCATACACTATTGGAGGCAAACAATGAATGTGAATAAAAATCAAGAATATTCTGTAAACCAAAGCATACAATGCAATGCAAAAGTGAACGACCAGTGAATGGCATTCAACACAATACACGTTCACACTCTCACACATGGCATGACATCTGCCGGCCATAGCGTACGACACACTCCTGTGTGTCTGTCAACAGAGGGTGACAGAGAGTGAGAGTTACAAATGTAGCTAAAACTTGCGTTTTGTTGTAAGTTTTGTTGTGAACAAAACGGTAAGTTACCCTCTCTGTAAGTTTGTCTGTCAGTCTCAAGTCATACATACAGTCAAGTGATTGAAAGCGATTTGTAACTCAAACTCACATTAAAAATATATATACTTTTTGCTAAAATAAATATAACATTAGTTTTTCATTCAATTAAACATTAATAATACAAATAATAATAAAAATCAAATCAAATTTTAAACCAAAACTACAATCAATCGCTTGTGTTGTTAACCACTGACTAATAAAAGGCATAATAATTATCACAACACAAGGATTTTAAATGCCATTTAAATCACATGTCGTTTAATAATAATTATAATAATCTTATCATTCATTAAATGTTGTGTTTTTGTCAATCATTTGTTGACTTTTAGTGTCAAATGAAACGTCAAAACAAATGCAAACCTAAAAATCTAATCATTAATTTTCATATCCACTCAAGACATCGGGTCCTCAAGACATGATTGAACTCGAGTTTCACGAGTTGTTTCGGACACCGGTTGGCGGCGCCGGCGGTGGACA